TCTAGCTAGAACAATAAGACAACAAAAGGAGATCAAGGGGATACAAATAGGAAAGGAAGAAGTCAAACTTTCACTATTTGCAAATGATATGATAGTGTACATAAGTGACCCCAAATTCTACCAGGGAACTCCTACAGCTGATAACCACCTTCAATAATGTGGTAGGATACAAGATTAACTCAAAAAAAAATCAGTAGCTCTCCTATATGCAAATGATAAATGGGCTGAGAAAGAAATCAGAGAAACATCACCCTTTACAACAGCCACAAATAATATAAAATACCTTGGGGTAACTCTAACTAAGCAAGTGAAAGACCTGAATGGCAAGAACTTTAAGTCTCTGAAGAAAGAAACTGAAGAAGATATCAGAAAATGGAAAGATCTCCCATGCTCATGGATAGGTAGGATTAACATAGTAAAATTGGCAATCTTACCAAAAGCAATCTACAGATTCAATGCAATCCCCATCAAAATCCCAACACAATTCTTCACAGACCTGGAAAGGACAATACTCAACTTCGTATGGAAAAACAAAAAACCCAGGATAGCTAAAACAGTCCTGTACAATAGAGCAACTTCTGGAGGCATCACCATCCCTGACCTCAAGCTCTACTATAGAGCTATAGTAATAAAAATAGCTTGGTATTAGCATGAAAACTAACATGTGGACCAACGGAATTGAAGACTCTAACATTAATCCACACACCTATGAACACTTGATTTTTTGACAAAGAAGCCAAAACTGTACAGTGGAAAAAAGAAAGCATCTTCAACAAATGGTGCTAGCGTAACTGGATGTCAGCATGTAGAGGATTGCAAATAGATCCATATCTATTAACATGCACAAAACTCAAGTCCAAGTGGATCAAAGACCTCAACATAAATCCAGTTACACTGAACCTGATAGAAGAGAAAGTAGGAAGTAGCCTTGAACACATTGGCACAGGAGACCACTTCCTAAATATACCACCAGTAGCACAGATACTGAGAGCAACAATTAATAAATGGGACCTCCTGAAACTGAGCAAGGGGCATCAAGATCATGATGAGGAAACCTACAGAGACAACCAAACCAAACTAGTGGGAACTCATGAACTTTAGATCAACAGCTGTAGAGCCTCCATAGGACTGGACTAGGCCCTCTGCATATAGGAAACAGTTGTATAGCTTGGTCTGCCTAAGGGGGCCCTGGCAGTAGGATCAGGATCCATTCCTGGTGCATGAGCTGGCTTTTTGGAGCCTAATACCTATGGGGGGAGGGGACGACAACACCTTGTATAGCCTTGATGCAGGGGTAGGGGCTTGAACTTGCCTCAACTGAATGTACTAGGCTCTGCTGACTCCCCATGGGAGGCCTTACCTTGTCTGAGGAGGGAATAGGGGGTGGGTTGGGGAAGAAGGCTGGGGGATGGGAGGACGGAAGAGAGGGGGATCTGTGGTTTGTTTGTAAAATGAGTAAAAAAATTCTTAATTAAAAAATAAAATAAAACTTGTAAAAATAAATAAATAAAATAAAATATGGCTGTTGGGACTGGAGAGACAGCCCATCGGTTAGGAGACCTCGATGCTCTTCCATGGGACTTGAGTTGGGTTCCCAGCACCCACATGGCTCACAGAGTGCTTGTGACTCCAGTTGCAAGGGATCCAATGCCCTCTTCCAGCTCCATGAGTACCCTCACACACGCAGCATACACTTACACATAAATAAAAATAGTTACTTATCTTTGACTATACCAATTTTAGTATGCATCAGCCCAAGACTGACAAAGAATACAGGCACTCTCTGCTGAGGAGGAAAGTATGAATATGTACATCTGCCTCAGAATTGCACTTCTCAGTACCATTAGTACCAGTAAAAGAGTGGAGACCAGTGGAATCTTTGCTGGGAAGGGACTGGCCTAGTACCTATGGCCTATGCACGCAAGAGATTCACTGCCCAACCTGAAGAAAGACTAAGCAAGTCATATGAATTTAGACTATCTGCAAGCTTCAGGAGTCCAGTTGAAGAGAGAGATGATGGATTCTATGAGCAAGGGGCATCAAGGTGTGAAGAAATGTTTGTAGTGCACTAGCATTGGTTTGAAGGGGTGAAAGAAAGCTGGGGATGAAATAGGCTGAGACATGGGAAGTTTTGACCTGCTCCCCATGGAAGTGACGATTAAAACTGAAATGTACCAATTTGCTTGTTGGTACATGGAGAACATGTACACTGCAAATGGACAACATTGGGTGTGTTTATGAGGCTGGGTTTGAGTTAACTAGGAGGCAAGGAAGAGATTTTTATTAAACCATGAGTATGTTCTATGTATTTATTTATTTATTTATTTATTTATTTATTTATTTATTTATTTATTTATTTATTTTGGTTTTTCAAGACAGGGTTTCTCTGTATAGCTTTGTGCCTTTCCTGGATCTCACTCTGTAGACCAGGCTGGCCTTAAACTCACAAAGATCTGCCTGGCTCTGCCTCCCAAGTGCTGGGATGAAAGGGTGCGCCACCACCACCCAGCCGTTCTATGTATTTTTTAAAGATCACTAAAATTGTAAATCAACACATGTGGCTGAGGGATGTAATTTTTCTCATCTTGCTGTATAAGAAAACAGAAATATCCTGTTTTTACATCAAAATCAACTAGATAACTGTGGCTGTTTCATTTCTCCTACTACATTTTTTTTATAAAATTCTAAAACTACATTGAGATACTGTATTCAAGAAGAAAGTTCTAGAGCATATAGAGTTGGATCCAAGAATGTAGAGACATAGTGTTTCCTCCTGGTGACTGTAGCCTCTGAGTCAAGTACATTAAAAGTTGTGGTAGGGCCAGTTAGGTGGTCAGCAGATGTCCAGTTAGGGTTTCTATTGCTGTGAAGACACCATGACCACAGCAACTCTTATAAAGGAAAACATTTAATTGAGGTGGGAGCTTAGATCATCATGGTAGCATGTAGGCAGACATGGTGCTAGAGACGTAGCTGAGAGTCCTACATCTGGCAACAGAAAGTGGACTCAATATCACAATGAGTGAAGCTTGAGCAAAAGAGACCTCAAAACCTGCCCCCATACTGACACACTTCCTCCAATAAGGCCACACCTCCTAATAGTGCCACTCCCTTCAGGGGCCATTTTCTTTCAAACCACCACAGCAGGTAAAGGTTCTTCCTACCAAGCATGAGGACCCCAGTTTGATCTCTGGAACTCACATGGTGGAAGGAGAGAACTGATTACTACAAGTTGTCCTCTGACCTTCACACATGCACACACAATACCTACAGTCAATCACTTCATTGAACAGTCAACAAATGAATAAATGTAAATTAAAAAAAAAACCCACAGAAGTGGAACACTAAAGAATAGAAACATTCAACCAGACATGAATATACATGTAAAAGCCAATGACTAAACCTCTGCTCCTATTTCACAGAATGCTAGCTAATTGTAGTGGACACATCGTAAAGCATTTCTTTAACTACTCAGTATCCAAGTTATAATGTCTAATGGGGTGAGGGTTGCATTTGGCTTCACCTTTAGCTAGTATTTGTGTGTAAAGTTAGTTAAATTTTATGAATTGAACATTCCATATGGATCCCATGTCTCAGAAAAGCAAGTGGTCCCCAGCCAGACACCAGGACACCAGGATGTCAAGGTAGTGTTTGTGCCCTGTTAATGAATGTGAATTTTCAACAAGGTGATAGGAGCTCCATTAGCAAATGGTAAAGACTTTTCAATTATCTGTTTCTGGAAAGAATTCAGTGGAGGCAACTTGCATATTTTGAGAATAGAGGAAACGACCTTTTACATGTCAAACTTTATACAATTTTTTTCAAGGTACGGGACACTCTTAGAGTGCTGTCTGCTCAAGAATCACTCCTGTAGAGTCGGGCATGAGGGATGTTCTGAGGAAGCCTGCTGCACGGATGACTGCCATCAACACCTGCCACACACCTCTTTCTTGAAATATAGGCACCGGAGTGGAGATGCCCTTTAGTTTTGCTGGAGCCCTGGGAACTTCTATTCATTGGACAAATGTATAAATACAAATTTCCATCTCCTAAAGCCAGGGAGATCAAGGAAACACCCGAGCAATTTGTCTAGTGCCGCGTGTGATCTCCCCCACTCTTTGAAAACAGTACTCAGCTATCTAAAATGTTGCATGCATGCCCTTTCCCGTGTCGTTCTGTGTAGTGAAAGCTTGCTCTGACCTGCTTTGCAGGTCTCCTGGGACAGTCCCTGCTCTTTAGAACTCTCTGCTCAGCTTCACTTAATTAAAATGATCACTCTTTAAATGAACCTAAGGTCAAAGTGAACCCTGTCTCCCTGTGACTGCAGGATCTGGGCTGCTGCTTCCTGTCCTGCAGAGTGGGATGACCTGAGAGCGCAGGTCACCTCTGACTGGTGCTTTCCTGCTGTAAACTCCATGCAGTTCTCTTGGCTACCTTCTCACTTCATTCCCACCAACACCCCTTGAAGTGAACATTCAAATGTTGTTTTACCCCTTTGACCAGTGAGGAGTTGAGCCTCAAAGAAATCTACAAAGCTGCCTGCTTGACTGGTACAAGAAGCCTATCCCGAGAATAAATGCAGGAAAGGAGTTGCTAGTGTGAGGGTAGGTCAAGTGCAGCAACTTTGTGCCCATGTTAGGAGGAATAATCATACTGTAGATGTCTGGAAGTCTGAAGGAATGGAATGTGATGGTGCATTTGTGTCCAGGTGGACATCCCTGTGCAGACCTGCAGGGATCTTTAGTGGATTTTCCATGGCAGAGCTTTAAACAACATTTTGGTTTCATCAGAAGCTCTAAGTGCCTTGGTTCTCTTGAAGGAGGTAAAAGAGCCTTTGGGGCATGTAGTGATAATTTTACAGATTGACCAATATTACCCAAACGCTAGAGCATGCTCCTGCCTCATAATCTCGTGGAATGCTGTTGTTTCCTGTTATCTTCAGTTACTATATATTTTTTTTACATCTGAAAATTAATTTAGGCCTTTTCTTCCATTCATAGCCCACCACTGCTGCCAAGAAGTCAGATGTAGATGGCGTTGACATGAGCAGTTCATATTCAACATCCAGCAAATTCCTTTCTGCTGAACCCGAGAAAAGCTCCGGGACTACGAACCAGGCTAAGAGCTCCATAAAACCCTCTTCCTTGACTCGAGGCAAGAAAAAGCTCTAAGGTTCTGTCCAGTGCTGTGCAGTGCAAGAACAGACCACTCCTCCAGCATTTGAAGGGAGGGGACAGGAGGGGGACAGCATGGCACCGAGCTTTTAGCCTTTGGCTCTGCTGAGCCCTGCATGGGTTACACCAATTTAAAATTGAAGCTAGATACCAAAGCAGCATAACTTGCATGGGGCACTAAAGGACAGTGTGGGCATGCTTGGGGCAGACTACAGCTCTCGCCAGCTTCAGGTGTTCCAGGGTTAAGGGACAAGTGCTCTCAGTGCAAGCCTGGGGCCATACTTGCTCAGTTCTACTCAAATTCTTATATTTAGGCACAATTATTTATAAGGGAAAACAAGAGGCCAAATCCAGTGATGGAGGTTGTAAATGATTGTGTGCACTTAGCCCTAGGAGACTTCGTTAGATGATTACTAATAAAACGGCCACAGGCATTGTGGCAGAAGCGATGCAGTCCCTCGAGTGTCCTTGTGCTTCTAGTTGCTATAGATTGTTTAAGACAAGTTATTTTAAACACGGAAAAGTAGGACATTTTGTAATTGCTTGCATTGGCTTGCTGCTACACTCCTATCGTATTGATTAAATCAATAAACCCAGATGTCTTCATGCATGTCATTTTATGTTAAGGAGAGGTGACTTTAGCAAGTCCTCTGAATGCTTCCCAGACAGCTAATGCTGGCCTGTCGTCTCTGGGGAAGGACTGAGACTGGACAGGAAACACATCATGAGCTGGTGTTGGAGGTTCTCTTTCCTCCGAGGTTAACAGCCCTGCCACTGCAGGTTAAGCAGGGTAAGTGGATGCCTCTCTCAGCTTCCCAAACAAAATTTAAAAAAGCAACTGGAATTTGTTTTCTCTTTATAAAGCAATAACCTAGTTTCATTCCAAACCCCACAGGATTGTCAGATCATCTCCAAAAGAACCACACCCATAAACTGACTCAGAAGCTAAAAGAGGTACTTGCACCTCATGTTATGAGCTCCCAAGGTACCACGGTGGTCAGTCAGGTCAGGTCATACTGCCATGTTACCCTTTATCTTGGTTCCTTTTCTATTGCTGTGGAAAGATACCATAACAAGGCAACTTATAGAGGAAAGTTTATTTGAAGCTTATGGATTCAGCGGGTTAGAGTCCATAATACAGAGCACAGGCATGGTGGCAGGAACAGCTGAGAGCTACATCTTGATCTACAAATAGGAGACAGAGGAAGAAACACTGTGAAAGGCACTAGTCTTTTGAAACATCAAATCCTGCCCCCAGCGGCACACCTCCTCCAACAAGGCCATACCTCCTAACCATGTTCACATTGCCCACGGGGAAGCTAGTATTCAAATAGATCCAGTGTAAATTGGATTTTATTTAAAATTGAAGCTGATGGCTAGGGAAGTGACTCATTTGGCAAGCTGCTTGTCACACAGACATGGAGACCTGAGTTCAGATTCTCTATACCCACCTTAAAAACAAAACAAAAAACAGGGACACAAGTCTGTCATCCCCGTGCTGGAGAGATGAAAACAGGAGGACCCCTGGGACTTGCTGGCCAGCCAGTCTAGCCAACATGGTGAGCTCCAGGTTCACTGAGGGGCCTTGTCCCAAAAACAAGGTGGAGGGCTAGCAGGATGGCTCAGTTGGTAAAGGTTTTGCCACCCAAATTGATGACCTGATTTCAACACTCCACATGATAGAAGTCTGTCCTCTGATCCCCTCACCAGTGTGGCATGTATGCTCCCACACATAAGCAACACACACACACACACACACACACACACACACACACACACACACACTAAATTAATTAATTAAAAAAGCCAAACTGTGGCCTGGCATGGTGGCACATGCCTTTAATTCCAGCACGCAGGAGGCAGAGGCAGGCAGATCTCTGTGAGTTCAAGGCCAGCCTGTTCTACAAAGTGAGTTCCAGGACAGCCAGGTCTACACAGAGAGACCCCATCTCAAACAAACAAACAAAAACATAAAAATAAAATAAAAACCAAACCAACAAACAAAATGAAGTGGAGAACAATGAAAAAAGACACCTGGTATCAACCTTGGGTCTATACATGCACGCATGTACAGGTGTACCAGCACACATGCGCATGCATACCCACTCATGACCATATGCACCACACACCAGATCATACACAGAAAAAAGAAAAGAAAAGAAAAAAGGTAATTTGGGAGTTGACTTAGCTTCTTTAAGTGCTTTGCTTCGGGAGTTATATTTGCAGTCCTACAGGAGCCCATGTACCATCTCCTAAACTTGCAGTATCCTCAAAAGGTTTGAGAGGCAGCTTTTGAGGAACAGACTTTGTCCACCCGTGGAGGACCTGGCTGTGTGGCTCAGGGAGGAGTCTTCCAGGGGAATTCTCTAGGAAGTGGACAGCAGTGCTACACACCTTTCCCTGATGGGAAGAGAGGGACCGGGGGGTGGGGGGGTGGGGGTGTGTGTTGGGGGGGTGTCTCCCTTTAGGAAAGAGCAACTTTGATTCTGCCCCGTGTGTTTGTATCTTTTCCTGTCACACAGCAGACAAGGCTGGTGTCCTTCTTGTCATAACATACATTCTGTCAGAGCCCTCTAACGATAGAAGACAGCCTATCACATGCCTCCATCTGACTCACGTGGAGCATTAAGACAGAATGTAGCTCACTCTTATGAGAGTGTCTGTATTCTATTTATTTGTTTGCTTGGAAGCCATGGGGAACAGACAGTCTCTGAGCTTAGTTTCCAGCTGATGGACCTGTTCTGTGTCTGAGCCCATGGCCTTTCTGTCTGCTTTGGCCTCTGCGGCTGTGGAAAAGCAGCTCCTTCATGTCCGTGACCAGTAGGCCACCTCTCAAGATCAACGTCAACCTCTCTGGCACTTCCTGGGCCCCATGGCATGGAGAACTGAATTTGGCTGTCACCTGGAGGGACACCCTCTGCCTAGGACAGTACAGAGCAAGTGTGATTTCCAAGAGAGCAGACGCTGACCAGCACTCCCACTTGAATGGCATGTCAGGGGCAGAGACTAGCCGAGAGGAACGCAGGCCTGGAGCTGGGGAGGGTGCTGCTGAGGTGGCTGCTGTCGGAGAAGAACCTTCAGGAAGGGAACGAGACGGGCACGAGACGGGCATGGGGGAAGTGTGTAGTCTACGAACCCAGATGCCGGCACCTGGCCGTGCCAAGCCCAGAAGCAGATGTCAGAGGTAGGAACACTGCTTAAGGACAGTGTGTCCTCTGGGCCAGGTGACACCCAATGAGCCCCCTCCACAGCCTGTTCCCAAGCAAAACCAGACAGGCCAAAGAGACAAAGACCAGGCAAAGAGAAGCTGAGAGAAACGGGAGTTTTAAGAGCTGGCCACAGAATGGGCCTAGGTTTCTTATTAGAAATGTTGCGGGGGGAGCAGCAGACTAAAAAAAAAAGCACTATGTGCTTATCATAGAAATACTTTGTTTAAATAATTCTATTTGACTCTAAAATGTAAGTTCCAGGTTGGACAGACGAAAGCCAGTCAGTCCTGAAAATGAAGCTTTTTAAATTCGGGCCCTGCTGTTGGAACAGACAATAAAGGCTTTGTTCAAACAGGTATTCCCAGCAGGGAGCCTGGCTTTGAAATTGGCCAGAGAAGTTGTGTCTTATAAAGGCTGCACTGGCTGGAGGCCAGGAAGCTGTGGCCTCTGGGAAATGACCCTGGGCTGATGCTGCAGCTTGAATATGAAATATCCCACAAGTGACAAGTGTCTGAACCTTCGGTCCCTGGCTGGTGGCGCCCTTTGGTGTAGCGCCTTTAAGGAGTCGTGTAGCCTTGCTGGAGAAAGTGAGTTACTCAGGGCAGGTCTTGAAGTTTTGTAACTTGGACCCAGTTCCTGTTCACTCTCTGCTCCCTGACTGCTAATGCAGGGTGTCCAGCCAGCCTCCCTTCCCTGCTGCGGGGCCTTCCCTCACTCTGGTGGAATATCTTTTCTTGAGCTGTAAGCCAGAAGCCAGAATAAACCTTCTCTCTCTTTGTTATCAGGTGTTTTGTCAGAGCAAGAAGGAAAGTCACTAAGCAGTTGGATGTCCTCCACCTGCCCTTCCAAAACGTCCTCCCTGCTCTGCCATCTGCACTCACCTCTGGGGACAGCACTGTTGGGCTCCCCTGGCCCCTGGATTGCTTGGGGTTCTCTCAGCAGAGGTGTCAACAGGAGGTCAGAGGATGTTAGGAGATCCAGACATTGCTACCTCTGGACCCCTGCCTATGTCCCTCCTGTGAGGCTTTGTCTGCATCTCTTTTGATGGATCAGGCCGCTCCTGGTACCCTCTGACAGGCATGCTGCTGGTGGGTACCTTCAGGGCTAGCCCGGTGCCATCAACTGGGAACTGCAACTTCCTCAGTCCCTTCATAAACCAGCTCTTCCTCTAGCGTTCTTCTCCCATCCCAGTGCGCTTCTGCCTTCTGTGCCCCAACACAGCTCACACTCTGCCCTTGTTCACCCCTCAGTAGTCCTGACCTAGGACACTTTGTCCCTGGTTGCCAGGCTTCTACCAAATTATAGGAAAGGGAGAAGCACAAAGCCCAAGTGAGTTCTTCCTGAAGACACAATGTCCCTGGGTGGCCACAGGGTCTGGGACACAGGGACACAGGGATGCTGTCTCTGGAGATGGAGCCAGGCCAGTGAATCTGAGGTCTAAAATGGCCTAGATGCTAGATTCCATATTTATGTGCACATATACACATGTACTTACACAAATGTGTGTGTGTGCATGTGCGCCCCCCCCCCCACAGATCCAGCCCCCATGGTTGTGCAGACCTGCAGTGAGATGGAAGCCTGGGCTGGGCTTCACCACCTCTTCCTTTCTCCGAGCACGAAAATCCCCTTACAAAAGCCTTTTAAACTAAAACACCACTATTCAAAGGCCTCACATAATTCAGCTTTCCTCTTCAGAATCAAATTTTTCTGAGTGAGCCAGTTTTGAACTGATTTTGATTTCCGTGCCGTGTATTGTTACCACTTAATTCTCGTTGGTGAGCCAATTTTCTTTGCCTTTGTTCTTCAAAGGAAAGCCACATCGAGTGTCGGGCTTGCATTGGTGTGTGACTCACTATGCCAGTTCTCTGCATTTCCCGAAGTTACCCAGCGCAGCCCTCCAGGCGCACAGGCAAGGTGGGTCCTCCCACCTCTGCCCGATGGTCAGCCTCACTTTACAGCAGCACAAAGCAGGAAGCGGGATACTAGGAAGATGAATAGCGCCATTGCCCAGCCTCCTTTCCTGGCACCATGCTGCCCAGGGCTGTACCCAACACATAAAGTAGACCCTGGGGGAAAGGGTGACGTCCTCAGAGGTCCTCCTCCCCCAAACACAGTAGGTTCTGTCCTGGGGCTGAGGGTGGGCCCCAGGGGCAACCCAACCATCAGTGAAGATGTCCCCCCTCGTCATGGTTAACCATACTAACTAGGGGAGGTGTCTCTTAAGAGCCCACAGTTACGGT